ACAAACATCCAGAGACCACTCCTCTGAACCCCAATGATGACAGATCTGTACCACACTTGCCACACAGAATCCCCATGGGTTAGGGGGACTGTTGCAATCCAGAGCAGGGAACGAGGCCCTAAGATAACTATCCACCACACTTGGCTGTGAAAAACAATCCTTTTTTATTGAAGAAAAATGGTTACAAAATAAAGGAAAAATGCAAGTCAAAAGCCACAGAAAAATCAGCAAACATGAATTTAAATGGACAAAGCAAAACCAAAAGCCTCACTGGGAAAATACTGGAATCTGTTAGCAATCCACTAACCGTACTTGATATCCTAGAAATCTTCCCAAACTATGGCCAGGGAACCGGGAGAACTGCAAAGGTCTTCATCAATTCTGAAACGATGCCTGAACTGAGGCAATCAGCCTGGCGTATTGCAATTAAAACTCAAGAATCGGTTCCGTGAACCGCCCTTCTGTTTTGAAGCCAATGTTTTTAATTCTTGAATTCGGGAGGATCGACGCAAACTGAGTGTTTTACTTCTGTCTTCCCAAATTTGGCCCCTTCTGTTGTCATTACAGTTAACAGGTGCAGAAGGGAGGGAAAGTTCAAGGTCTCCCTCTGAAACATTCTCATGAACACTGGTACTTTCATTTTCCAAATCTACAGAAGTTCCTTCCTCACTAATTTCAGGAACATTGGCATTTTCCAAACCTACAGCAGTTTCTTCCTCACTAATTTCAGGAGCATTGGCATCAAAAGGTACATTTCCACTAGCATCAGTAAATATACTTTCATTAGCATCAGGAGGAACAAACAGAGAATCAGGTTCAAGTTCAAACTCAGGCTGAACCCCAACAGGGACTGACCAGTTGTAGTTCACTGCACATCCAGAAAGCACTGTGGCTCTCACCATTAGTGGATCTGGACCACACTTGGCACACATACCCAACATGACCAACTCTAAGTACAGGTGTGGTTTGAGGGGGATTAACCTGGCATGGTGTGAGTTGTAGATGTAGTCCATCCACATCCTTATGCATTTTCTTCATGGGACAGTTCACAACATTCAAAAAATGACTTTTTCAAAAAACCTGTGTTACAAATTATGAAATGCTTAACCCGGCCATTGTCGGGTACCTCAGCTAGAATATAAAGTCAAAGTCTGAGGGCAAGAAAGCTCCAATTTCCAGAGAGCACTATGACTCCCATCAATGATGTATCTGGACCCCAAGACAAACAGAAAATACTGATTGACCCTATAATTTGAAAATACTGATTGACCCTATGATTCACCCACATCCATAGAGCACTAAATCGGGCACACATACCCAACATGCCTAACTTTGAATACTAGTGGTTTTTGAGGGGATTGACCTTAGAGGCTGGGAGTTGTAGTTCAACTACATCCAGAGGGCATTCTGAATACAACCAATGCTGAATCTGGACCAAACTTGGCACACATACCCAATATTTCCATTTTTAAATACTAGTGGGGTTTGAAGGGAATTGACCTTAAATTTGGGAGTTGTAGTCCATCTACATGTAGAGAGCACAATTAACCCAAATGACAATGGATCTGAACCAAACTTGAAATACATACCTAACATGGCCAACTTTGAATACTGGTGGGATGTGGGGGAATTTGACCTTGAATTTGGGAAGTTGTAGTTCACCTGAGCGCTGAATTCAGAGAGCGCTGTGAACCAAACCAACAATGGATCTGGACCAAACTTGGCACACAAACCCAGTATGGCCAACTTTGGATGCTAATGGGGTTTGGTGGGAATTGATCTTTAATTTAGGGAGTTGTAGTTTACCCACAATCAAAAAACACTATGAACCCAAATGACAATGGATCTGGACCAAACTTAGCACACATACCCAACATGTCAAACTTTGAATACTGGTGTGGTTGGAATAATGACAGATGATGATGGAAGTTGATGGTTGGATTTTGTAGTTGAAACTCCTCAATTATTTTAAGTCAGGTAATGAAAGGCATGTGTGTCAAGTTTGGTTTCGATCCATCAAGTCACGGAGGAGCCTTTGTGGTACAAACAGACATACATACAGACTTTAACTTATATAGAGAGCAAAGCTTTCCAAACTGTGCATTGCAACACTAGTGTGTCAGCTGCAATGAGTAGGTGTCTTGTGAAAATGTAACAAGAAACCTCTAAGTCTATGTGAGATAAGCAATACATCATATTTAACAAAATATAAATGAGAGGTTTTAATGAAATACATTGCATTCCCATACATGTTCTTATTACAATTTAGGTATGTGTCCCTATCTCTTATAATGGATTGGTTTAACCTCCAATTTACTAATAAATCTGAATTACAGTGTCACAAAATGATGCATGTCTCAAAAGTTTATCACCAACATAAAATGTTTGGAAAGCTCCATAGAGAGGTGGATTATTTGGAAGCTTTTAAACAGAGGCTGGGTGGCCATCTGTCAGGGGTGATTTGAATGAAATATTCCTGCTTCTTGGCAGGGGGTTGGACTGGATGGCCCATGAGTTTCATTTTTTTTCTGCCAAAGTGGAGTATCTTGCATTTGTCACTGTTGAACTTTATTTTGTTAGTTTTGGACCATCTTTCTAATCTAGGCTTCCTCAAACTAAGGTCCTTGCTCAGGGTCAACCTAAGCCTGAAATGGCTTGAAAGCACACAAAAACAACAACAACAACAATCCTACCTCATCAGCCAAAAGCAAGCCCACAATTCCCATTGAAATACTAACAAGTTTATATTTGTTAACATTGTTCTTCATTTTAATTATTCTATTGTTTTAAGTGTTTTTCTTTCTCTCTTTCTTTTTTGCACTACAAATAAGGTATGTGCAGTGTGCATAGGAATTCATTCATGTTTTTTTTCCAAATTATAATCTAGCCCCTCAACAGTTTGAAGGACTGTGACCTGGCCCCTTGTTTAAAAAGTTTGAGGACCCCAGCTCTAATCTGTTAAGATTGTTTTGAATTCTGCTCCTGTCTTCTGGAGTATTGGCTATCCCTCCCAATTTGGTGTCGTCTGCAAACTTGATGATCATGCCTTCTAACCCTTCATTTAAATAGTTAATAAAGATGTTGAACAGGACTGGGCCCAGAATGGAACCCTGCGGCACTCTGCTCGTCACTTCTTTCCAGGATGAAGAGGAAGCATTGGTGAGCTCTTTTTGGGTTCTGTCGTTTGACCAATTACAGATCCACCTAATAGTAGTATAATTGCCTAGCCCTTGTCTCCTGGATATGCCATCAGCTGGAGACCCCTCCCCCCAGCACCAACTGTCGCTTTGGGCCAGAGTGAAGAGAGAGGGGGACAGGGGACAGTTCCACCTTGTCTCCTGTGCTATTCTAATACTATAATATAATATGATATAATATATTGTATATACATATATTTATAATATTGTAATGTAATGCAATATAATAATATATTATAATAATATATTTATAATACATGTAATATTACATGTAATATTACGATATAGTGGTGCAATATAGCAATGTTTAACGCTGATATCGTACTATGCTAATAATATAATATATTGTATGTAATATATATCTTGTAAGCTGCTCTGAGTCCCCTTCTGGGTGAGAAGGGCGGCATATAAATAAATGAATAAATAAATATTTGTGTTCTGGAACAGCTGTTCCAGGGGCTCCAATTTTGTGTTTTGCACTGAGTGTTTGTTCATAGTCCTAAGTTGCAGGGACTTTGCAGATAGGTGGCTTCCTTTGGCTGCATTCATAGGGCAAGCCACATGTTAATAATAGTTAGGATCCCTGGTCCCGCCCCTCTCTGGGTTTTTTTGAGGGAAGGGGCCATTTTTCAGGCAGTCACTCACAAGGAAGCCAGCAATAAGACGCAAATCAGTTTGTCCCGTAGGAAAGGCTTCATTCCTCAAGACCATCTGGGGTCCTAACTGACTATCCAGTTCCAGGGAAACGGAAGGAAAAGATCCCAAAGGCTCTGGCTGAGAGCTCACAGCCTCTCAGCCTCACAGCACCAGAGGGGAAAACAGACCTGAAGTTCCCACTAGACAGCATCGTAGAACCACAGAATTCCAGCTGCTATATCTTCAAGCCTCAGCCGGTAAGGTCTGCTCGATACCCAGATGCACGTGGATTTCGGTAGCAGCACCCACGCCGACTAGGCATAGATAGAAAGCGGCCTGGGAGGGATTATAAAGAGTTCTTCCTTATGCTTGAGATAGTATAGTTAAACCAAGTCAGTGCCAGTCTCTTAAAGACTAGTATAAGAAAGCCTTGAAGTGTTGTTTGAAGATTTGTTCCTTAATAAAGACTTTTTTGTACCTTTAAAGAACTCTAAAGCCCATTACTTCTGGAAGTCTCTAACAATCTCTCTTCAGGCACCCCGGCTTCCCACTGGGTTTAAAGTGTGCGTTCTATAGAATAAAGACATTGTGTACAGGCCCAGTGGCGACAGAACAATTTAACTAGTTTGTTTGCAAGAAGTTCACGGGGGCCTGACTGAAATCAAGATATGCTACATCTGGCATTCCCTGTATCTACCAAGCTTGTAACTCTTTGGGAAAAAGAGTTAAGATTAGATTAGAAAAAGAGAGAAGATTAGTCTGGCATTACTTATTTTTGAGAAATCCACCATGACTTTTAGTAATCACAGCATTCCTAAGAGACTGCAGACTTTCCCAAGACAATGCTACAGCTGTTTGTTTGGGCCATGCATCTTCTCCATGCCCATTTTTAAATGCCTTCGCAGTCCGCACTCTGTAACATCCGGGGGAGGAGGGGGGGGAGAGAGCGCGAGCCGCAGTAGCAGCAGCGTCGCCCAACTGCAGCAGCGATGGCGCGAGGCCGCCTCTGCCCACCGAAGAGGCTCCCGTCCTTCACCCAGCGCCGGTTGCCATGGCACCCAAATCTCCCCTTCCTTCCTTCCTTCTTGCCTTCCTTCCTCCCTCGCTGGCTCCTCTTCCCCCCTCCCCCGCATGGCTCGTGCGTGCTGACGTGCGCGTGACGCAAGCGGCAGGCGTGCCGGCGGCGGCGGTGGCTGAGGGCCCCTCCTCCAGAAGATGGCGAGTCCGTGCGGGCGGCAGGAGTGCTCCATCGAGAGGCGCGGCTTCCGCCACCAGCTTGACTCGTGGCGACACCGGCTGCTGCGCTGTGTGGGTGAGGGACCGAAGGGGGGGAGGGAAGCCGAGCCGAACCCGGAGTCGCCAGTGACCCTCCCCCCGCCCTTCCTTCCCTTCCCTTCTTCCTTCCTTCCTGCCTTCACCACACAGCCAAAGCGAGGGAGGGAGCCCCTCCCCCCACCCTTAGTGATTCTTTCGCCCGTTCCGTTGCCGGCCAACTGTCCCGCGCGCGCACACGCTCTCGCGCTCCCAACTCCCCCCTCCCTTCCCCTCCCTCGCGGCTTAGCCTCTCAGCGCGCGCGCCTTCTCTCTCTCTCTCTCTCTTTCGCTCGCGCTTCACGGCCTACGCTCGGCCCCGCCCACTCCGGCCTAGTCTCTCTCTTTCTCTTTCGTGCTTCCCTCCCTCCCCCGCCCCCTCCCTCCCGTGTGGGGAAGAAGAGGGAGGAAGAGGTCTCTTTGTTTCGGGGAAGGGGGGTGGGTCCGGCCTCATCCGCCGGATTGGGTCAAGGGAAGAAGCAGCCCAGCCGTGTTGTGGAGGCTATAGCTCCTGTCGTGCTGCGCCTGCCCCTCCAATGAAAGAGCTCAAGGCCGGTTGGGAAAGTTACCCTTGAATGGGATAGATTCTTGGAGGGTCGGATTGTTCGGGAGGTGACCACGCCCCTCTCCCTTGCCTCCTTCTCTCTTTTTTAAGCGAACCTCATCTTCATCCTCAGCCGCCCCATTCATTTGCTCCTCGCTTTCCTTTTCCCAGCCTGGCTCGCGCTCCCAGTCCTATCCTCTCTACTCTAGCACTAAGCTGAATGTAGGGAATGGATGGGGTCGAAAGATCACGCTTCCTGACCTCTCCTACGTTTTGGCACACAATATAGGTCGCACGTGTCAAATCCAAGCCTCCTGGCCTGAACCTAGCCCACCATATCATTTCATGTGGCCCCCACGATGCATTCAATGCCAGGGCAACATGGTTACATTTGTGCAGGCTTACATTTATTTATTTATTTATTTAGGGCCAGGGGCGGCTCAACCCATTACGCAAAGTAAGCATTTGCAGTATTTATTATGTATTATTTATTTACATCACTTATATCCCGCCCATATCAGCCCGCAGGCGACTCAGGGCGGTCTACATATCGGCACAATTCGATGCCATCAATACAATACAAAAGCAAAAACAATTAAGGTGCATTTAGAAAAAAAACAGTGCAATAACAATTTAAAAAGAGCTATATCCTCTCATTCCAATCCTCATCCGTTTCGTCGTCTTGGCCGTTCCTGGGTCATTCTCCATCTCAAGCTTGACTATTCCGGGGTTCCAAATGCCTGCTCGAAGAGCCAGGTTTTCACTCTCTTACGAAAGGTCAGGAGGGAGGGGGCTGATCTAATATCCCTAGGCAGGGAGTTCCACAGCCGAGGGGCCACCACAGAGAAGGCCCTGTCTCTCGTCCCCGCCAAGCGTGCTTGCGAAGCAGACAGGATCGAGAGCAGGGCCTCCTCAGATGATCTTAACTTCCTGGAGGGTTCGTAGGAAGAGATGCGTTCGGATAGGTAGGCTGGGCTAGAACCGTTTAGGGCTTTATAAGCTAAAGCCAGCACTTTGAATTGGGCCCGGTAGCAAACTGGCAGCCAGTGGAGCTGATGCAGCAGAGGAGTTGTGTGCTCCCTGAGCGCCGCTCCTGTTAGCAACCTGGCTGCTGCATGCTGGACCATTTGAAGCTTCCGGGCCGTCTTCAAAGGCAACCCCACGTAGAGCGCGTTGCAGTAATCTATGTGGGATGTAACCAGAGCGTGGACTACCATGGCCAAGTATAGTTGATTTTGCCCAGAGGCGCTCTTGAGGTGCTCTTGGGGGAAAATAAACCTTGACATATGCGAGTTGTAGTTACTGGGATGTATAGTTCACCTAAAATCAAAGAGCATTCTGAACTCCCACCAATGATGGAATTGAACCAAATATGGCACACAGAACTCCCATGACGAACAGAAAGTATATATCAATGATTGGTTGGGAGGGGGGGCACCAAAATACTGTTTGCTTACCATTGAAAATTACCTAGGGCTCCCTCTGTTTAGGGCTTTTATATCCCGTCCTTTCTCAACCTCCGCAGAGGGACTCAGAACGGCTAACAAAGTGGCACCCCATGGCGCCCACATCAAAACATAAATATACAATTAACAGCAATGTAATAATAACAATATAAAACAGTATAAACAGTATAAAACCGTATAAACAATATAAAAACAATATAAAAACAGACAACAAATAGTCAGTGGTCACAGATTTAAATCATTATTCAAGGGCAGTCCATCAGTTCTAAATAAGTCAACACGTCAGTAGGTCAGCCTATTCTCCAAAGGCCTGATCCCATAACCAGGATTTTACTTGTTTCCGGAAGGTCAAGAGGGATGCAGCAGATCTAATTTCACTCAGGAGGGAGTTCCACAGCCGAGGGGCCACTACAGAAAAGGCCCTGTCCCTTGTCCCCGCCAAACGTGATTGTGACAATGGGGGGACAATGAGCAGGGTCTCCTCAGATGATCTTAGGGCCCTAGGTGGATCATAGCAGGAGATACGTTCGGACAATTACTGATGGCGCAATGGGTTAAACCACTGAGCTGCTGAATTTGCTGACCGAAAGATTGGCAGTTCGAATCCGGGGAGCAGGGTGAGCTCCCATGGTAAGCCCCAGCTTCTTCCAACCTAGCAGTTTGAAAACATGAAAATGTGTGTAGATCAATAGGTACCGCTCCGGCGGGAAGGTAACAACGAGCCACATGACCTTCGAGACATCTATGGACAATGCTGGCTCTTCAGCTTAGAAATGGAGAGGAGCACCAACCCCCAGAGTCAAACATGGCTAGACTTAATGTCAAGGGGAAACCTTTACCGTGACACGTCAGCGGTTCGAATCCGGGGAGAGTGGATTGAACTCCCTCTGTCAGCTCCAGCTCCCCATGTGAGAACACGAGAGAAGCCTCCCACAAGGATGGTAAAACATCAAACATCCGGGGTCCCCTGGGCAACATCCTTGCAGACTGTCCATTTTCTCACACCAGAAGTGACTTGCAGTTTCTCAAGTTGCTCCTGACACAAAAAAGAACCTTTACAATTATAGACTGCCCTTGTAATGCAACCATAAGGCTGATATGGCCCTCCAGAAAATGAATTTGACATCCCTGATATAGCTTATTTGTGGTCACCCTTTGTGACAAGAACATCTTCATATTTCCTGAAACCTTTGGATTATGAAGAGTTCCCACAAGAATAACTTATACTTAACTCCCCTTATGTACAACATGGATGCAGGTGGGAAACTGTGCAAAGTTAGGGAGGGGATGTATGTTCTCTATGGTAATGGTGCCTTTTAATACCGAAAAAACTGATGTCAATTTAACTGTGAATCTATTCATGTCTTAATGGAGCCATGATGAGCTCAGTAGAACTTACTTTAAGGTAAATGTGTATAGTCTTACATTCTAAGTGGTTTTATAAAATCCAGTATCCTTTCTCTTTCATCCTTGGGGACAATAATGCCTTTACCTTGCATGACAAGAGAACACACACACACACATCCTGTGGCTTAATTCATGCTGCTAACTCCACAGTACAGTCTTATGCATGCTTACTGGGAAGTAATCCTGTAGTCTTCGCGATGTTGTCCCCTCGAGTAGGTATGTGTCTAGGATTGCAACCTTCTTAAAACAAAGACGATAGTAGATATTAGTGTAAGGGCAAGGGCAGTAGAAGCAAATAATTTTAAATTGAGCTCTTTTTCTTGACAGCAATTGAATGTTCTCAGATTATTTTCACTCTAATTTTATAGGTCACTCTCAAATTATGTTCCCCAGTTTATTCATTTCAATGTAATGCTAAACCTTTGCTTAGAAACCATCATTTTTTGCTTGCTGTGGCTAGCAATTTGTCTACATAAGCACATGGTATTTATTATTCTCAGGCATTTTCTTTTTCCTAAACAAGTGTTTAAAGACAAAATATTTGCCATTGTTCCTTTAAAATATGGCACATTTTTAAACTAATGATATATTAGGCAATGTTCAGTACATTTTCATCATTTTTGTTTGTATCAAAAATAGTCCAGTGCTTTCGAGAGCTCTCTGTAATTGCACTGACATCTGTGTGGTGTGGTCATTTCTATGAAGATGATTGTTCAGTGATAACTTTTCTCACTAAAAATATAGACCTTCTGTTTGCTTTTGGTAAATATTGCAAGAAAGAATGCATTAGAATATGCATTGAGATATCTATAGTTAGGTTTGATTTGGATCAGCTACTAGGGGTTTACCTCTGGGGACTTACATTGGGATTGTCTCTGCCTGCTGGAAGAAAATACAGACTTATTCTTTCACCTAATGCCATTTTTGGACTTTAAGTTGTGTTAATGTCTGAGTGGTACAGTGAATTTACAAGAAGGCTAAGAAGCTACCTTAAAGTATTTAATGTCATTACAAATATCTCATCGGTTGTTATTTGTGTTCATTCTAGTGTGTATTTCACTTTTGCTATTTGAAATCTTGTGATTTGCATGGAATGTTGTTTCTGATGTTTTACTCAGAAGCTTGGGTAGGAATGCTAAATATGTTCACAAATTGAAAAGAAATACTATGTGAAAGTACTTTTTGTACAAGTTTAAGCAACCATAAATGCTACAGATTGAGGGGTTATATATGTTATCTAAGGACTTTACCTTTTGCTGTTTTACTCTTGCCCTCTCAGTCTCTTTTGAGCCCCAGTTTCTGTTTGGGTTCACTTCTCCTTTTTGTGTAAACATAAGATATGAGGAAATTACTAAACTGTGAAGGTTAATCACCTAGTCATCCAGATTATTTTTGGAGGTAAAGTACAAAAACATTTTAGAAGGTCCAAAGTATAATTATGTTGGTAGTATTTTATCTTGATAGCATTGTAACCTAAGAGTTTGAACTGCAAATTGATCAGTTTTATGAGGTCTCTGTGTAGTGTTTGCTTTGTACATAATATCCATAAATTGCAATGGTGTAATAAATGGTTGGCTTTGTTTT